TATGTGTGTGTGTGTGTGTGTGTGTGTGTGTGTGTGTTTCTAACTACAGTTTTGTCTCGGTATTCGAATTGCGGAAATGTATTAATTTTTGGAAAATAATAATATCGCAAGTCTTGTATGGAAGTATACTAGTTTACGACATAGAAATAGTTCAGAGTCGTCCCGAAATTCGAAGTACATAGATGATTCTTGAGAAACGGTAACACAGATTCCCAGGCATTCCTGCCTTTTGGGAGGGATATATTCCCATAAATCCAGAGAAACATTCACTATCACCACACTCGCAGCTACGCATCTTCCTCGCCTTCTTGGCGGGAGGTCCTACCTGGTCCCGACTCGATCTCGCCATCGTATCGCAACAGTACAACACGCTATAAACACAACCTGCACCTATCTATGAGCATACGAACAAGTACAAGATTATATACGATAAGAGAACCATCGGGTTTTGTGTCACAGCCAGTTCTAGTACAAAAGTACACAAAACCCGCCAGAAACCGGTACATACCGCAATACCGGGACTCGCTAGAATCCGTGAACATTAAAAAAATAATACACTATGTACACATCAGTGACTTCACCCGAAGCCCGAAGTGCCGATTGCGGATTGCCGAAGCCGCCCGAAGGCCAAATTCAATTTTTTTTTTATACGGTATACTATGTATGTACCTAAAAAGCAATCTCATTGGCAGTTATACGACTCTAACGGTGGGTCAACCGCTATAGTGGAATTTCCCGCCCTCCTAAATGAAGCCAATTTTATGTATTCCGCACCGGCGCTCCTATTCACATACATATCCAGAGGCCCAGCAAATATATACAGAGCCCAGAGGCTCCCCCCGCTCAGAGCGGATAAGCGGAAGTGTGGAACTGGCTTTTCATGTAAATACTCTAATTCGGGATTTTTTTTAATGGTGTTTTGGAAAAATTTGAATATTTAAAAATAAAAATAAATAGTGTTCAATTTCTGAATTTCATAGCCTCCTATAAAAAAAACCCTAAATTTAGAGAGCAACTTTTTTAATTTTTTAATTGTTTTTAAAATAAAAACAAAATGCTTCTAACATAGCCTTTTAAATATATATATTATTATTAACGCCCGAGGCCCGAGCCCGAGTCTAAAACCGCATCTGGTCCATTCGCAAAGGTAGGATCGATATTTATGGGCCCACGTATGGTGACCTTGGACCAAGTACCGAACTATTAAGTGTGTACACTTGACAAAAAAGTATCTACCGATATAACAGTCAAGTATCAGTTTTCGGTACATAATCTACACCTATCACCTGAAATAGTATACAACGCCTCAGACTAGTAGAGTCAATGTTCTGTTGAACTTGTGGGTGTGGATTCGTGGAGACGTGGACCGGACGCATACTCCTGAATATTATTATTTTTAAATATTGTTTCATAGCCTTCTAAACTATACAAAAGGGAGAGACGGCTATTTATGATTGTTTGGTTTGCACAATTGCACTGTAAATAGGTTTTTAAAAAACAAATGTTGAATTTTGGTTTGTCCCGTTCTGTTTGTAAATTCCAGGTCCAAGGGATTTTGTCCTGTTCTGTGATTTCCTTGCGACGACTTGTACTGTTTTCAGTCTATGAGTTTTGACTTTGTAATGTTTTAGTATTTGCTTCATTGCTCATTTTACAAAGAATGTTCTTGCTCTAAATACCGATTTGTATTCGTTTCTCTTCAATGATTACTGTGATTGTTTTACTGGTTTTCTTCGTCATATTTTTTTTACAAAACAATATACAATGTTTCCATCAATGATCAATGATCATGAATTCTTTAGCTTTTAATTTTTGATTTTTGATTGTTTTTTAAAGTGGACGACAGAATAATCGACTAAAAAGGGGAGAACCCCAAGGCCCAAGAGAACAAAATCTCGCAACCATTCATTCATGTATTTACATACACCGTACTTTTTTTACTGCTCTCTACTACTAGAGACTCACATAGAGGGAAATACATCACCTTCGTGGTAGAGTTATTGTACAGTGACTCAACTCCGATTGTGGGCCATTCCTAGAGTGAATGTCTGAAGGACGCATGTGACGAAGGCGATACGTAATGAAGGTGTTACTAGAATCTTATATGCATGTGCACTGGCACAATTATTTAGATTCTGTTGTAGCTGGCAGCATAGCTGATAGACCGAAATAGTTGGAATAGGTATGCAATCAACCTATGTCAAAATTCCACCCAATAATTTTACAGCATATGAAAATGACACTGCCGTACACGTAATGTGTTCGAGCTTTTTTTTAAACACTTTGGGCTACACAACAGTAACATATGCTAACAAACTGATGTGAGGTTCAGGGATGCACAAGAACCTATAGTTGTTTTGTTTCAAAGCTGTTGAAACGAAGTATCTCGATCAAAAATTCGGAGTGCGAGTTTACAATTGTGTGCGGCAAATTGAATATATCCTGGCACAGTATAAATGCAGTCGGCTGAGCATCTCACATCTCACAACATCTCATTTGGATTTCGAAAACGAATAGTTACATTTGACAACATGAAGTTTTACAGCACTGCACTCCTTTTGGCCGCCGCATCGGTCATGGTCATGGCTGCTTCGCCAAAACCCATGGAACACATGTGTTCGATGTCCAACAATAACGGCAAGTGCGAGGGCTTGAATAAGATGATCAACACCAGCCAGGGCTGCAATATGAGCGGCGATGACAAGTGTTCCACCTCCCACTGTTGCATGGATCACCCCGATGACCATGACAAGGACAACCATGACAAGGACGACCAAGACAAGGAAGAGCACAAGGATGAGCATGACAAGGATGAACACAAGGATGAGAAGGACCACAAGGATGAGTATGACAAGGATAGTGGTGACCACGAGACGACGTGTTCTGACTATTCCAATCAGGGCAAGTGTAAAAGCCTAGACAAGTCGATTAAGAAGGGCAAAGGCTGCAACCGATACGGCGACGATAAGTGTGCAACCTCGCACTGCTGCAAGTAAGGAACACTGGTACTATAGGCGTTCTAGATTTTTGGTGTATGTGAAAATACAAGCTTCAAAGAACAATAAAAAATGGATAATGGAACTACCGATTTCGTAGTGCAAGTTCAGTCTTTATATATGTATGTTATCACTTCTCAAGAATCAAAGGTTTATGCATCTCGTGTACTACAGTCTTTCTCTCGATATAAATTTGTTCCCTTCACTGACGTTGTCGACCACGCAAACATGCTGTGAGGGCTATACTTTTGATTCTTGTTCTACGGTACGGACTCACCCCGACTTACTACGTGCACCGTAAATCTTTTGGAGGATCCTGAGCAATGATTCTCGATTGCACAAGTCGGATATGTAGTGCTGTAATGAGTTCAAACTATGCAGAAAGCAACCCAGAGTTGGAACATAAAAGATATGCAGTACTGTGGCGCGTAAAAACTATGGTCAAGGATTCTATGCTCGCTCGGACGCACGCCGCTGCAATATACTCCGCGAAGATAAAAGCCACTATATTACTAGTTCTTCGTCGCGTGTACGAAGTTTATTGGTTCGTATGGTTTCTTTCATGTAGTCCGATGTCATAATAACGTGGGGTCGTATGCACAGGCATCATTTAGCAAGAAAACTGTAGAGCTCTCGGCTGCAAAGGGCTCATACCAAGACTAAGTATTTAGTCCTAGGCAAGACAAATCACATCAACCAAGCTCAAAGTGAAGTTTAACCTTGCATTTTGCTGTTTTTGTGACGCCGCTGCTGCCATGTCTCTGCACTCTAAGCCCAGTGTAACGAGAAGGACAAACGAACTCGTGTCACTTCAGTTGTGACAAAGACAAGGATACGATAGTATAAAGCTTCCCCAAGAAGTGCTGCTAACACCACGGGAAGTGTGCGAATCAGAGAAGTGCACCAAGAATCACTGCTGCATGCCTACGAAGGATAGATATCCCCGAGATGGGTGTGAACTGCTCTGTATCCAAGCCAGAGAAGAAATTCAGACAGAGATATTGGTTACGTATCGTACGAGCGCTAAGAGGAGAATTAAGAGGTCAGAACCGACGGTCACCTGTGTTGCCGATGGGCTACAGAGAAACAGCGAATTCCATAATAATAAAAATTTAGTCTTGAGATCAAGATGTGCATTAACTCCCAAGACCAACTGTTGCAGTAGTGAACATGCGAGTTATTTACCATTCAGGCTTTTTGAGCTGTAGTTCCCAAGGCTGTGTTTTCCTTCAGAGATTCACAAATACAAGTTTTCGTGTTCATACTTTTATGTTGCTATGTACATGTGTCGGTTGGTGTATAGTTTGATTTGTATTATTCGCTTTCATCGGGGGTTGTAGTGCAGTTGCTAGAAACTGCTACAATTTACAACCAGTAGATAATATACCCATCGTCATTGAGTCAATTACCCCCACAGGTTTTATACCAAATTCATTGTTAAGTTCCGATTTTTAGAATTCAGATATGCCTGTGCACTTTATATTCAATCTAGGAATATTCTATAACTTGATACAAGTTAGCTGAGCATGTGAGTTCCAAGACAATATATATTTTGTCTTTGTCTTCTCAACTTATTATTAACTTATTTCTATATTGACTTTGGAAATATCCGTGTTGTGTACGTTCTATGTGTACGAACGTTGTTTTACAATGGCAGTATTAAACTAAGTAGGTGGTCTTAGTGACTGCAATGTCAGATTTAGAACCTGTATGAGATTTCAGCACCTGTCAGATGTAGTTCGTTTCAAATGACATATAATAAATGTATAGATTTTTAGTCACCAAACTAGTTAGCTAGTGTCATACACTGGATTTTATTATCTGAAACTTACACACACA